TCTGGCTGAGTAGCAATCCAGTCAGAGCTACTGTGCTGGAACTCTGTTTGAGGCACGGTACTACCAGAAATTCCAGACATTCCTCAAGAGCACGTAGATCAACTACACAATACATGTATTGTGGGTCCAACACTTCTTACAGGTATTGAGGAAACTTCCTGCAAATACATAAATCAGCTCTTCCTTTAAGATTTATTGCCCATACATTGTATAGTTGATTCACTCAAAAGTACATTAACTCTGTTAGAAAATTCCTGGCAGAAACTTAACAGCCTTGTGCATACTGTAAGCTTTATACTATTGAGGTGATTGTTTCAACCAGCTATCTTCCTCCACCAGTGTATTTTAAAAAAGTAACTGCAAAATTTGCCAGCTCTGTTTTAAAGGCTGTTGTTTTGTGCCCTGCTACAAGAGATGTAACCTATGAAGCTCCAACTTCATGAGTATTCAGTAGACAGGTTGCAATCTCCCAAAGGCTGTATCACAGTCTCAGATAAATGGCAATAAATAATATCACTTTTGTAGGCTATGTCTAATAGATATAAATATACATACATTTTAATACTGCTAGCTGCAATTTAACAAATATTTTGTCCTGAGGGACTCGCACTCAGGAGAATAGTGACGACTTTCAGCTACAGAAACTTAACATTTCTTTAAAGGTAGTCTTACCTCTTAAGATGTGGTTGACCTTGTGGCTCCTGCAAAACAACGAGTTAGGATTAATTTTTCTGCATGTTAGAGCACTTGGCAAAGTCCCTATCTGTAAGAAAATGTATCAGTTTGTCTATAACAGAGCTCAGTGGCTGTGGCTCCGGAAGCAGCCCCATAGCCTGCTTTGAACATTGCTTGCCTTCAAGCATATTGATACTTCAAGCAAGAAAGTGTCTACTGTAAAAATAAATAAATAAATTGAAACTAATCAATTGAATTGAAACTAATCACCACCGGTGGAAGTGCTGAGGGTTCATCACTTGGGATGCTATTTGCTCACTGGAAGTGAACTCTTTAGTTGGTTGTGTTTCTGGGATCCCAGGAATAAGGTCTATTGGATACACTTGCAGTAAACTAACCTCGCCTTTCCTTAAAGAAAGCTATTTTTGTCCCTTAGACAAACTACTGAATCCTAGTTTTGAGCTTCTAACAAACAGGCTGGTCCCCATGTACAAGAGACTGTAGAATTCTCCTGTTGCCATAGGGAGACATTCTTCCTACTTTCCCAAAGTGTGTGAAAATCTTACTGTCTCTGCCTTTACATGGTTCTTATCTGCTCTTTCCAAATAAGATGACTGTCTCAAAACAATTACGCTATGTGTCTCAGTTACTTAAAATCAAGGACACAGTTCCTGATTTTCTTTCATCAGCAATGAGATTGTCACTGTTTCTTAGTAACTCTCTGCATCTAGACACTAATGAAATAAGATGACTGTAGCTGTTTTCATGCTGTCCTTATATTTGATGTCATTTAAATGGTGTTTATGTATTCTTGACTCTAAGCAAAGATTATTTTGTTATTGTTGGTCCTTTTTATTTTTTTGTTATTATTTTTTTTGCTATAGACTCAATCTTGACAATTTTGCAATGTGAGTGGCATACCAGTAAGAAATTTGTCCAATGACATCTGTGTAGTCTGTGGGCAGAAAATATTTGTGGATGTAAATGAAGAAGAGATCATTGAAAATATCTACCCGCTGTCCTGTAACCATGTGTATCCTTTTCATGTAATTATGGAACTGTTGTTTTCTCTTCATTTCTGCTGCATTTAAAATAATAATAACAGCAATAAATATCAAGAGAAAAGCAACAAGAACAACAACAACAACAAAACCCACCACAGATTCAGAAACAGCGTAACATGAAACAGGAGCATGAAATATATCTCAGTTCAACCTGAGTCCACATGGCTTTCTGAGAGGCAATGTAAGAACAGCTGCTGCCCTGTTATTTCATACCCAAATGTGTCTTCCAGATACTTTGTGTTGAGGCTCTCTGCGTGTGCCTGACAGTGTATTAAAGCACCCCATGCTAACCTGGGCAGACCTATGCTCTGGTCTGATAGTTAAGATTTTGCTGAAGGTTCTTCCTGACTGTTTCTGAAGGAGTGTTTGGTGGGTAGTTTTAAGAACAGATGTAGAACTCTTCTCAAAATGTAACATATACCTAGCTGAAGCCTAGCCCACTGTCTGATACTGAGAGATAACAAAAAGTAAGTGTTTTTTGTTTCAGAAATCAAAAGGAAAGGCATAGCATATGTGCTGTAGCATTGTTATTAATCATTCTCTTCTGCACTTCATAAAAGTCTCCTGACTTTTGCATGCTGCAAATTATGGATATTGGTGGCAGATGGCAGTAGTCATAAATGGTCATTAAAATTATCTGTTGATGATTTGATTAGGCTTGCACTGTTCCTTGTTTATATTTGAAAGATTCCTTAATAATACACTTGATAACAGGTTTCATGAATTCTGCATTCATGGTTGGTGCCTTGTTGGCAAGAAATAGACTTGCGCATATTGTAATGAGAAAGTTAATTTGAAGATTAAGTAAACATATCCTCTCCTTAACAAGTGTGCTTTTGATTTGGATTTTCTAAACTGTTAAATTTTATTTGTTACTTGTTAAATTTTGTTTTGATCTGCAGTGGAGGAATGAGATGCCCACATTAAATAAATGGAAAAACAATAGCATTAAGAATTATTATTTTTAGGGAAGATAACAGTTCTGTTTGACTTTATCTTAACTGAGATGCCAAGCAAGTAATATATACATACATATAATTTTTTATATATAAATATACCAATATGTATATATTACATATGTGTATATATTTTTCTCCTTATCTTTATAACATCCAGAAATAATTTACATAATGAGAGGAACATCTTAGAGAAAGTAAATCATAGAAAGATTCCATGCAGTGGCATTTGTTTTTTAGTATACTTACAGAATTGGTGCAGTCCACTTTCAGAACAAGTGTTGGATTTTTTTCCTTCCCCCTGAGAGTTGGTAAGCTACTTCTTTTCTTCCAGCTTCTGAAGCAAACAGAAGAGTAGTCCAAGAATTGCTACTACATCCTTGAGTTGAAGCAAAATTTGGCTTGCTTCTGTGAGCTTTACTTTAACAGTAAGCTGGCTAAAAAGTATTATTCCCAGCCCATCTAAAATATATGTTGAGCTCAAATTAAATATAATATTTTAAGAACCTTTACATTGTCAATAGAAGTGAAAAATATAGATTAGCTTGCCTACACTTTATTATGTATGGGAATAAAGCAGAGGCTGTATGAATCTATCCATAGATGAAGGTAAGGTTTATATGCTGTAGAAAGGGGAATGGAGCAAGAAAAAAATGCATGTAAATTAAAAAAAAAAAAAAAGACAAAATTTAAGTACATAGTAAAAAAGGTGGCTTTTTTTCCTAGGTTGCTTAGAAGAGCTGTCGAAGACAATGGTTCCTGTAAAGTTTTATGCCTATATCCATATACGCAGAAATACATGTAAATGAATATTTATTTTACGCTGTCAGAGTGAGTTGTGTAATTCAGTAATGGAAGATTGCTTATCCACTCTGGTCTAAATGGCCAGCAAAGGGTAAGAGGATAAAGATACTGCTCTACTGCTCTCATTGAAGACTTTGTGAAGAACAACCTCCTAAAAGCAATAGCACTGAAATCAAAAAGCTATGAGATCAGTTTTAATGTAGAGTCAGTTACAAATATTGAGGCATTTGAACTGAGATTTTTGTATACTTCAGATGCCCAAGGCTAAAATACAACATTAAAAACACCAGTTTGGACATGATCTAATCATAGATTCAGCAAAATGCTCTAGACATTTCCATGTGACAACTTCTAAGATCTGCTCATGTACAGGCCTTGATATTTCAATCTCAAATACACTGTTCCTAAGCCCTAGATTGATCCAGTACTTTGTTGTCCTTCCGGCCTACTTCATTCATACTATTAAGGCCATCTAAAAATTCCTATATCTACAAGACCGGTATCTCCCAAGCTACCTGTTTCTCTTTTTTAAAACACAGCTGAAGGAAGAGCCTGGTGCTGATGACTCCATTTGATGCACTCCTTCAGCAGTTGGAGTCCTTATCCCAGCTGTCTTCTTGAGGAACTGCGGGCCCAGTTAAGAGGAAATGCAACTTGTGATGAGGGAGATGCGCAAACACTTCTGTTTTCGTGGCCTACGTTTAAAGCGAGAGCAAAAAGGAGGGAAGCACCGTTTCTGTGCCAGTGCTAAAGCCACTGACTTGTGAGAGCAGAATGGTCAAGGATTTCAAGACTGCTTATACATTTGTCTCCCCCACATCCTAGCGGAATTTTAAGACAACTACATTTAAGAAAGTAAGAAAAGTGTTCGGGCTCCACTTCGAATTGCCCGTTCCCATACATGGTACATACACTAGCTGTTAGTTTCTGTGTTTCACCGAGGAGGTTGCCTGCCCTACGACAGATACAAGGCAACAGACACCACTACATTATGAAAGTACTTTTTTTTTTTCTTTTTCTTTCTCTTTTTTTTTTTGCATCCACAATCATCAAAAGACTTGGAAATCTAACGTAATAATTGTGAACTATTGCTAAGAATCTGTCCTTAGATATAGTAACTGGAGGGGTTAGGACAAACTCCTTGCTGCATAAATGGACTTTTATTGCATTTGATTTGAAATAGTGCATACAAAGAATGCAGAAATACCATTGTCTAAGCAGGCTCTCTCATAAAGATTTTGTGCAGATGAAGATACAAACTATAATTGTATTTCTAAACAACTTCTCACCCTTAGTCTAAATATTTAAATAAAAGAGATTTTCTTAACTTAAAATGTGTAACAGTTCATGCTCCCAACTACAAAAAATAAAGTAATTTCACAGTAAGTACTACAACTTCTGGTAGTTCACCTCTCTTCTGTACCAATATAGAAAGGTGATGGGATGCATAAGCAAGACAAATAAGCCTTTAGCAGCTGAGCTGCATATCCAATGTTGCTGCTTACGATTTTAGAGCTAATTTCAAATTAAACCAAAATATTTGCTGCTGCTCTTCCTCAAGAGGCCACTCCAGGTAAGTTTTTGTGTTCATTATCTTCCGCAGTTTGCAGAACCTCTTGGGAATGTCTTTGCCCTGGATGGGCTCCAGGAGGATCAGAATGGCGGCATCGTTGTTTTCATCAAAGAGGCGGAAGTGCGAGAAGTCCAGCTCGTATTTGCACCACTCGCTCCGTACAAAGTGCTCCGACAGCACAAACAGCGTCTTGTGGCTTTTCTCTATGGAGTCAATGATGTTATCCACAATCCACTTGCCGGGCACAAAGTCCCGCTTATGGAGGCACAGGCGAAAGGGCGGGCAGGCCTGCTCCAGCTCCTGCACCATGATGTTCTCCACCCACTCAGAGTCATTCTCGCTGTAGGAGACAAAAGCATCGTAGCAGATATCCTTTGGGGGGCCTTGCCGGGGCTTCCGCTTCGCTCGAAGCCAGGCCCACGTCATTCGCATGTACCAGATCACGTGGTACTTGTACCCGACGACCACCAGCGCCAGGATGACCAGGAACACCAGAACACAGATCAGCGACACAAGGAGGGAGCGGTGCCCCTCCACCGGGGACAGGTACACCGCTCCAATCTGCTGCCCTCTCACTGCCAGCGGAGAGTCACACACGTAGTTTTCCGGCCAGCCCACTAACATCTCGGCTATCCCAGGCTGATGATGAATGAAGGAGAGGAATTCACAGGAGCAGATAAAGTTATTGTCCCTGGCATCCAGCCTCTGCATATTCTTAAAGGACTCCAACTCTTCCTTGGAGAAGCTGTTGAGCTTGTTTCTTCTGATGCTCATGGCCACCAAGTTGGGAATGGGAGCCGCATCAGGCAAGGTCTTCAGCTGGTTTCTTGCAATGTACAGCTCCTTGAGAAAAGGCAGTTGCAGCCCAAACTCCTGCAGGTTATTAGCGCTGACGTCCAAAACTTCAAGAGTCAGAGGAATGCAGGTTGTTAATTTAGGAATTTGAGTGCTGGAGAGGTTTAAGTGCTTCAGGCTTTCTGGCCATTGACAGCTGTCTGGAATCTCACCAAAACTATTTTGACTAATATCTAAGAGAATTAGATTTTTCAGGTGAGATAAGCTTTTACCCGTCATTTTTAAGTCACTCAGTGAATTTTGACTTAAATTTAGAATTTGTAGTAAGGGCCATCCATTCTGACAGGCTGAATGCTCCAAACTCTGATCTCCAAGCAAATTTGCACTGAGGTCGAGATACTGTAATGATAAAAGATGCTGTGAAACTCTGCATGGCACCAAAAACACCTTGGTATCATCAACTGTGACTTTGGTCAGAAGAGATATTAGGTCTAAAACAGCACTAAGATCTGTAAACAGATAAAATTCTTCTATAGATAATTTCTCTATTGTTAAAATTCGAATAGAGTGTGATTGGTTTATATGAATTTGGGAACTCCATTGGCCGGTGCCGAAGAGTTTACAATCTCTCATCTCAACCTCCATTAATTCTTTCATGGCCTCTAGAATGCCAATGATTTCAGGCACTGTAGCATCTGTAAACAAGACCTGTTTAAAAGAAATTTTCTTTGCAAAAGAAAAAGACATGGGTCTCAATAGCTGCATTTCAGCAGATACACTGAATGCTATTTCTCTCACTTCTAACCATACAACAGAGTGCAGGAGATCCTTGACAATTGCTGAGAATACATCCACACTTTTTAGGCTGATGATCATGTGGTCTATCTGCCTAACTGATTTCAAACTTCCTGGCTCATACAGACTGAGATTGCCACCGTCAATCCAAAGCTCGCTGAGAAGTGAAATGCCCTCAAAGTTTCCCTCTCTTATCGTGGAGAACTGCTGGTTGCCCAGGTAGAGAGAGCTCAGGTTTCGCAGGTTAGAAAAGAGGGAACTTTCCCCCAGGTCCCGGTAGAAATTGCCTTGAAGGTTGAGGTGCTGGAGGGAAAAGAGGTGCCCAAACCACACAGGGGACAAGTGAGACAAGCTGTTATTTGATAAGTCCAAGAGCTCCAGTTTTGCAAGAGAGCGAAACGAGTCCTCCTCTACTGAGCTGATTTCATTGGATGACAGCAGCAGCACTCTCAGGTTCACAGCCTGCTGCAGATCACGTGCTCGGATGAGCTTTATCCTGTTGTGGGCCAGGTTTAACCCTGTGATTTTATCCGTGAGCCCTGGTGGAATGAAATTCAACCTCCTGGAAGAACAGTTGCAAAACGGAGTGGTGCCACACGAGGGACAAACTTGCTTCAAATCTTGCTCTTCAGAGAGCTTTGCCATTAGGATGATGTAGATGGCCCACACTCGCCAGGTATGTGTCATCATTATTTTGCCTAAAATTTGAAATACATTCAGAGTAAGTGTAAGATGAATAGTTAGTTTTGAAGATTTTATATTTTGGACATAATCAGTAATAATCCTTAGCCATCTGTCCTGCTGACGATACCATGAATATATGTTTTAATTGTAACCTACTAACTTGCAGCACTTCCTTTACACTGCCACAGTCACTCATTTTGCTATTGCGATTTTCTCTGCTTTGGTCTCCGTGGCAGAGAACAGTTTGGTCCCAGCAATGAGGGAAAGACAGGGGCTCTTGGAACATCCTAAGGATCAGCAGAAGGACCGGACCTTCTTCTTCCAGGTTCAAGAGGGTTCAAACAGTTGCAGATCCTCTATCTCACTTCTCCTTCTACATATATTCATGCTTCTCATTATTCTAATTTGCCTTGGCTTTTTGTATTACATAGCTTCCCAATATATCCAGTCCTTCCTACCTCCCAACAAAGTGACATTAGTTCTACAGAGCTCAAAGAGCATGAGAGAATCTTCCCCAGAGTGTCACGAGATGAGTGTAGAGGTCAGTATTTCGTTGAAGGTGAGAAGAGTCAAGCAACCCCAAAGAAGCCGATGAAAAGATTCCCAAAGATCAACATGAGCTCTATATAGGGTTAGTTTGGTTAGACTGACTCTTGAGGAGCACTTCTGCTTCAGTCATCCCACTGAAACTCAGTGCAGATCTACTGTGGTTTGAATTCATATCCCGATTTATTTTACAATAGCTGACCCATGCAGATAAGTTCATGCTGGCAGGTACTGTCCTGTGTTAGTCTTAACCAGAGTTGTTTTAAATTATCCAGAAGTGGCAGAACTAGCTGTGACTGGACACATGGGAAGAGGAAGAAAGGATGTGGATAATTTTTTGTGATTTTCCATTCTTTCCCACCTGAAAAAGGACTAGGATTTTGACCTCTTGTCTAGTTTTCTTTAATCTCTCCCCTTTTGCTGCAGAGCTCTGGGTCTTGATTCCTCTCTCCTGTCTTTAGATGCTCACAGTTGAGCTGGTTACCCACCATGTCATCTAAAGTCAGTGGAGAGAAATAACAGCTTTAAGGGACTATTCACATCATCTAAGTTAGACACTCATTTTAAGATATAATGACTGCAAGAGAAATTACAATATCAGCATAAAAAGGAGTACTATATCTAGATATTTACCCAGGTGCATCCCACCCTAAAAAAATAAAATCTGTGGTCACACTCACCTGCTGTTGAGCTGAGCGTCTTTCAAAGGCCTTCTTTGGTCATTCCAGGTTGGCTGGTAACACAGAGCTATAGATCATATGAGCAAAACTATCATTAAAATCAGTTTCTCAAGCAACAAATTTAAGTGGAAATTTTAAAATGAAGTCCAAATTTCCATAAAAATATTACTATTAGAAAAAGAAACAACCAGGCAACTGGTTCATCAAAATCTACCTATAGGTAGATTATTTGCACATGGAACACTGGCAGGATAGAAGGGAATTGGTCAGGTCCAACATCGGAAGTACCAGATGAGCCTACCTATTCTCCACCTTACCATCTTGAAACCAACCAGGGCTGGACTGCAGGATAGATCCCAGTTAGATCCCAGTTAGATGTAAGTGTCAAGCATTTCTTTATTACCACTCACCTGAGCATCTTCCTCAGGCCTTTTCTGACTCTCTGTAGTGTAGGGCCCCAGTGATGTCCCATTTCGGCTTCCAGTTATTTTCAACCCTTCTCTTGCCCTTCTCATTCCTATCTAACAATGCAACTTCAGGCAGTGAATTACAGAATTCCTTCGGTTCTTTGCATACCCCCACACAAACACAGCCCCCCTCCACAATATCATCACACTGCCAAGGAATTGCTTTTCCCCATTGCATTAGGAAGAAAAGAATATTGCCAGATAGAAACTGGAATGCAGTTAATATAAAAAGGGAATTTGCACAGATGCTGTTGTGCGTTAAGGGACTGCGATGAACTAAATTTGCAAATTGTTTCTGATTTAGGGACAAGAGAACCCTGAATGCATCTGAAGGCTCCGGTATCTTTCCTGGCCCAGGCCAGTACAGAATGTGTACTTTTTTTTTTTTTTTTTTAAGTGTCAACAAAGAGGATTTATAAATATGCATGGCAACACCTAAAATAAAACATTCAAGTAGAGTGCAAATTGATCCTAGGTCAGGAAAAAGTATCAAGCTAAAAGAGGGCAGTAAAGTTTTAACAGCATTAAGCTATTAAACAGCTTCTGCAGTGTGAAAGGTGTAAGGATTGGGTCACTAATAGATTTGGGAAAGCTGTTGCTTTCCATTTAGTTGTGTACGAGTTACATATGTTCTGGGTATCACCCACCAGCATTGCTTTAACAGTACACATCTGAGCCCAGGGCCTTGAGATCATTGCCCAACGATCCCTTTCCTGGGTGCATTCCTAAAACAAGAACAGCCCATGTTCAAGCCCAGCCTTCCCTGTGCAGACAGCAACCATTTCAATATGCAAATGTGACAAAGCACCTACAAGGCATGCTACAAAGAGAAAACTAAACAGAATAGGGAGCACCTGACCCAATCCATCTCTTTACATGTTTTTTCATAAAGTAGTGTCTTTCCTCCCTCTCCCTTTTCCTGGAGGACATCGGCGTGCCCCTGTGCACCCAGGGAGCCTGCCTTCTTCTGCCCACATGCTGGCCCGCTGCGACTGCACCTGCCAGCTCCATGGCTGCCGTGAGTCCGAAGTGCTTTCCCTGCCCCACACTCCCCGAAGGAGCCAGCCCCCAGGAGCCTCGAGCATCACGCATCAAGCCCGACGCAGAGAGGAGATTAGACAGACCCTTCCCGCCGCTCTCTCCTTCTGCTTTCTGTGGCTTTGCAGCTCCTCTTTCTCTCCGTGCATCTCCAGCCTTCGTCTGCCTGCAAACTCACCTCTGTGAAGAAAAGATTCCCCAGGTACTGCAGCTCAAGCTCTGGTGTTAGCATGATAGTTTTGCCCATTTCATCCTCGAACTGTCTCTTGTCATTCACTCCTTACTCAGCTTCGTCTCTCATTGCTGTTTCTTTTTTTGTTTCATGTTTGCTTCACGTGGCTACAGAAACACGGAAATTCCCATCTATGAGATCCAATTAGCATAAAATCAGTAAGACTATCTATCTATTTTAAACATGTGAACCCATAAAAGCCTGGATCTCTGCTAAAAGCATACTCTACAAAAGCCAAGGCTATTCCTGCCTCTGTCTGACACTCTCTTCAAAATGACCAGCAAGATACTTTTCCCTTCTTACCTCTAGGCGTTCAGCCTCCTGATTAGTTTTATCAGCTGCTCAGTGTTTGCTACCAGTCAATTCACTCAACACTTACATGGAATTCAGATTTGATCAGCCCTCGAGTAATCTTTATCCAAGAGAGTGAGTAAAAAATCCCTTTGGTAGCAGGCTGTGGACTAACACAAGAGATATCCTTACAATATGAAAGTAAAACCAAGAACTGAAAGTGGAGTTTGCATGCTACACTCACAAAATTATAATGCTGTGCACATGTATACATACACACACAAATATACACATGCGTATGTGTGAATATATACATATATATGTACATACATATACAGACATACTATTTATTTGAATATATGAATGTACACATGCACACACTGGGACGCAGATATAAGCAAATTTCCCAATTTTCCAAACCCTCATCTGGAAACATCCCACATACAAATGCTCTGGTATATCACTGCAAAATATTTACATATATAAAGTTTAACTAAGGTTCTTCTACAGTCTTTTGTACATAGGCTCCAGCAGCGCAATCAAAGTCAAGTATGGGAATGCTGATTTAGAGGAACCCACAAACCGTATCTCTTTTCAGACTCATATTTCAGATTTCTACAATAACCTCTCTGAAGCATGAGAAACATAGAAACGTAGACTCCAGGCACTCTGTGTAAGACCAGCTCTCCCAAGGTAAACATCCACATCTACCTATTTCTCTAGATGCCCTTTATAACTAGTGGAGAGCAATACAGCACTTCAGAAGTTATCTTGCACTGAAGTAGGAAGATGAATTGTCCCTTATTACAATTTCTTTACTCCACTGATTATGAAAGGAAAACATTTAGAGCTGTAAGAGATGCATGGCTCAATGATTAAACGTGCTGTACAAAAACACAGAAACAAAAAGAAATAAGCCAGTCTGCCACATCACCTAGCCCACTCACTAGAAAAACATGCTTTTCTGATATACACAAACAGAGAGTTACAGTTACCTCAGTGGAGTACACAGAAGAGAACGTGAACAAAAATAACCTAAGAAAAGAAATTCAGTGGTTTCACGCTTTTAGAGTTCACTGCTCTCATTGTGCAGCGTTCCAGGATGTTTCATGCACAAGGTATTGAATAAAGCCCAACTAGTGTGATGCTATGAACTCCAAAATAACTAGACAAAGTAACAGACTTGTGAGTGCAGGTACATATTTAGTACTGTATTTTTTTGTCTTGCATAGCAATAGTACATTTTCACAGGGCTTATTTTCATAAAAATTCTCTTTTTTTTTGGTATTTTAATTGTCCTGCTACCTAAGATGATATAGAAAATAAACTAAAGGAGAACTGCATAGGAAAATATAGAAGTACTTTGCTTTTATTTTCCGTTGTGCAAAAGAACGGCATTGTAAGGAACTGTTTGGTGATATTACAGGAGAAGGACTCAAGAAATATACTAAATTCAGCTAAGTGTATTTAGAAAAATGTCAAGCCCAGAATGTCTTGCCAATTTTAAAAGATCAGAGTTTCAACAACATTGGACACCTTGAGGTTGATCATTTTCCTTAAAGCGAAGATAATCATTTCTATCCACAGCAAAGCCAGCCCTCATTAGACAGAAAAAGAAAACAAGCATTTCATAACAGGAAAAAAAACTAACAAATAT